GAGCGTACGACCTGGGATGAGTGTATTGGAGGGGGGGGGGAGAGAGATTGTCTGAATTCTGTGGTCTGTCTACCCTACTGGAAACCGGCACATTGAATGCCAAACTGGGCCCACTGACCCTTGGTGCATGTTGATTGTTGATTAGGACTGTGAGGTTTCTGCACACGTGACCTTATTTGATCAACAGCCTATCCGCGCTTTCCAGAATGTCCGTGCGTGTATGAGATTGGCTAATTTATAATAGTGCTAGAGTCATGTGCTCCACACGCCTATCACCTTGACCTTTCTTTGATAAACAGAAATCATGGTTAGACTATCACCATAGCAGTATTAAGCCATGCATCTAAACTGAATATGGATGACAAGGTTGGAAAATGAACTGGAACATGTTTTTTTTGCTTATTAAGGTGGTGAAAAAGAAACGTGAAGGACTGCTATTTTGTAAAAATAAATGGTAAATAGTAAATGTTTTCAAACCTCTTGACATTTAATTTCAGGATTTCATGCTATAAATAGACTAAAAAGGTAACCTGTGTTGTTGCAGAAGCCAGTGACAGTAAGCAATTCATTTCCATAACCCAGGCTCCAAACCAGAAGAAGAACTACGAAGATCTAAGAGAACGAACCAATTGGAAATATGATTTTGAGAGTGCGAACCAATTGGAATTGAAGATTTTCCCTGTCAAAAGTGGATTTATCCAACTTACTGGGAATGAAATTCTTTCACTGGGCACCGAAGTAAGCCTACCCCAACTTTCCAAGCTGGTCTTTCTTCAACGAGGACGAAGAGAAGCATTCTTTGGTTTGCAAGTATTCGCTTTTCTTCCATAGTGGGCGATCGTTAACATACATGTAGTAACTTCGCTTCGTATAAGGAGTGGTGTTTCAAATCTGGGAGCAAAAAAGGGCATGAGTTGAAAGTAATATCACTGATTTTTGTTTCTCATCTACAATTGATTAAAGAATAAATGGGCGAAAATTCCGGCCTTCAAAATGTATGGCTCCCACAAATTTTAAACCACGTGTTCGAACATAGTTCCCACCTTTTAACGTGGCGCCCACGTGGAACTCCCAAAGCAATTCCATCCTAGAGGAAATATAGTATGCATTCCCCTCAAAATGACTCCCCAAGTCGGTAAGCCCTTATTTTCAATTTGCCTAACTTCTTGCTATTTCGCTTTTTTAATACTATGTTATTGTTTATTCGATTACTTAATATGTGATTAAAACAGAGAGACGATAAAGTTGACATTTGTACCTGAATACCCACTTCAACACAAGACTTTTAATTTGATATTGAAGAATAGAAGTTCATATTAATCAACCAATCAATAATGCATTATTGAAAAAATTTAATATTACTTTATCGATCGATTTATTTTCATTGCCATTCCGTATAACTGTGGTTAATCTGTTCAACTTAGCAGCACAATTATGAGCTAGGAGTTAATTGTGTATGCATATTCGTCAAGAGAAAGTTTGTTTCGCCACCGATGTAACACCATGGAGTCGCTAATATATTCCAGGTTGTCCACTGAAATGAACTTGGCTTTTGACGGGAGAAGATCTGTAATTCAAATGATTTTTTGATAAGCTGATATCCTATTTATTTTCAATCTGGGTTATCAGATTGATGGGCTGTCTGTTTAAAATGGGCAAATTTTTGTCTCAGGTTATATGTTGGCAGAACAATCGGGGAACTTTATTTGAGTTCATTCCTTCCTCCAAACAACCAGAGCCCAAAATTTCCTGAAGTTCAAGGGCTGACGATTTGTATTCCTTAGTATGAGAAGGAAACAAGTGCAGTTAATCAATCACTCCCATAGCACCTTCACAGTCTTTTCCTGCTCAAAGGAGTTTACTAAGTTAAATTCGGATAAAATCAAACAAGCATGACCATTCATTCATTCACTCATTCACTCATTTTGGAGAGATTATCTCTTAAAGTTCAAAAACGTAAGACGAGGAATGCATACTGAATTACCATCTTGTTCAACTTAACATGCTTACTAATCACGAGATCGGAGGAATTAACAGACTGTGTTCTAACTTCTATTTAAAGCTAAAGGGATAGAATGGTACTCAGTATAGTTGGATTACACAAGCATCAGAACAGAATCATACTCAAATTGAAGTGGGTAAGTGAACAGATGAATTGAAATGGTGACTAGGCGCTGGGTGATTTGATCACCAGGATTTCCCTAAAACCCGCCCAGGGCGATTAAACGGAAAATTCAAATTCATGAGACAATTTCTTGGAACCAAATAACCGCCCACCCAGTTATTAATTTTACTAATATATATGTTATTGATCCATTAAGCTATTTCGAAAACAGACCAATGGAATAAATTTAGGAAAGTCCGTGACGAAGTTTATTTTCAGCACGTCTGGCGCTAAAGGGATTGGTGAAACTGGGTTCGAAGCTGATTCGAGGTTTTTGAGTTCAAATATTTGAGGTTCCTGCGACGTGGAAGAGCGCCTCTATCTGGAACTCTAAACGACCTTTAGATTTGACTAGAATAGTTTAAGCTAACCAAATATGAATCCGCGTAAATAACCGTGTTCCACACAAATATTATTGCCAACAACGAAACAGTGATTCAGATAATTGGAAGGCATTGAGGGCATAGTGATCGTGTAGAATATGGGATGAGGGGGAACAGACTTCACACGAATTTTGGATTCATCTATTTGTGAACTTTGCGCTTGGTAGTTTGAATTTGCTTGATTTCTTTTCTAAGTTCCTTGACTCCTGCAAGCTTTCAAGCTCTCAATTCTTGGATTGACACTTACCTGTCGTCAATAAAGGAAAAGTCACAAAATAATTTAAGTCCGTAGTCATATGGATGAACTATTTTCAGTTCGCTGTTGACCTAAGCTGTTATCATCTTTCCTTATATATTTTAAAACATTCTGCTAGTGTATAATTAAGAAACCTATAGCCCGGTGTATGGCTAATTTATTGAAGATGTTCAATTCACTCGCCAATTGACTTTCTCGTTAATTTATCTGCATTAATTCCAACCACCCCCCCCCCTTCCAAATGGCTGTATTTATGAGGGCGAAAGGTTCCTATCAAATGGAGCTTTGCCGTGCATGCTTTAAATATTAATTAAGTGACACTTATAAACTGCAATTATCCTATTAAATTATATAAATTTTAATAAATATATATATATATATATATATATATATGTGTGTGTGTACTGGTGCACCCTGGGCAACGTATACTCATACGGCAAAAAAGTCTATTAACCGGCAGTTGATTTCTCACTTCAAACTACCATGACCCCAATGTAATTCATATTACACCATTACACAGTACTCATCTTACCTCTTCCTCTCTATCTTTGTGTCTGTCTCTTTTACATTTTTGAAACACATTTCGGTTCCCCCCCCCCCCCCCCTCTACCTCTTTCACTTTGATGTTCCTCCTCCCCTCTGTGAAGCCTGAAGTCAACTAAAGGGCTGATAATAACTATCAAAACGCCTGCCATCTGATGTAAATAAATACATATGTGTGTACTCAAATTGGGAAACTTAAAAGTCCTTATATTTATATTGATATAAATTGTATTATAAAGTTATCTATACCTTTAAAGAGGGAATTTCCAAGGTGATATCACCGAGACCGGCCAGGATCAGTCC